GGCGGTTTAAGTCGTGGTGGGCCATTTGCAGGGCTTGCGCCAGCGCTGGTGGCGCGACCAAGTAGCCGAATTTGAGGCCCGGGTAGAGGGTTTTGGAAAACGTGCCCATGTAAATAACCCGCTGCTGCGTATCCATGCCTTGCAAGCTAGATAATGGCGCGCCGCTAAAGCGGTATTCGCTGTCGTAGTCGTCTTCCAATATCCAGGCTTGGTGTTGCTGGGCGCAGTCTAGCAGGGTTTGGCGGCGTTCTAAACCCATGACGGCACCCGTGGGGTATTGGTGCGAAGGGGTGAGGTAAATCAAGCGTGGTGGTTTAAGCTTTTGTTTTGTATGCGGATTCATCCCAAGCACGTCGGTGGCTACCGCTTGGATGTGCAGTTGCGCCGCTTGCATGACTTTGGTGGCTCCCCAGTAGGCGGGGTCTTCCATCCAGATGGTGTCGCCAGCGTCAGCCAATACGCTGGCACACAGGGCCAGGGATTGTTGGGTACCGCTGGTGATAAGTATGCGCTCGGCTTGCACCTCTACACCGCGCGATATGCGCAAATGCTGGGCCAGCGCACGTCTTAGCGGGGCAAAGCCGCCGCCGCTACTATAGTCGAGCATTTCGGCGTAAACCATTTTCCAGTGTTTGTTTTGCAAGCGTTGCCAAAGCGCCAAAGGAAATACGCTGAAATCGGCCAAGCCAGGTGTAAATGGTTGTATTTCTAAGTTTTGTGCTAGGAATTGCTGAGTGATTTGCAAGCCTCTTTGGGATAGCTTGGCTGGCATGGCTTGGCCTGGGCGAGCGTTATTGGCGCGGGGTTTTTGTAAACTATCGCTGACATAGGTGCCGCTGCCTACACTACTGGTCAAATACCCCTCGGCCAAGAGCTGCGCAAAACTTGCCATAACGGTATTGCGAGACAATTGCAAATCTTGCGCCAAATCGCGGCTAGAGGGCAAGCGCTCGCCCGCAGGCAATTTGCCCTGCAATATGGCTTTGCGCAGAGCTTCGTAGAGCTGGCGGTGCCTGGGCAGCTTTACCGATTTGGCATCCGCCATGTGGGTGAGCAAATAGTCAGATAGCATAGTAGGGAGTGTTAAAATTTCTTAGAAAGGCCTAAGTGGTACCATCAGTCTACACCAAATGGCTCTGATAATTATCCAATCTTCGCCCACAATGGATTAAGGAGACGAAAAAATGGCCAACAAGGCGTTGGAAAAAACTATTACGACTGCTACGACTG